ATGAACTTGGCATACTTGGGCATCTTCGACAGTGCCTCCATGAACGGTATGCTGATGTTGAGTTGCTTCAACATTGCCATGAACTTGGCAAACTCAGTCTCCAGCTTGTCCTTGTGTAGGCGAGTGGGGAAGGGAAGCTGGGGTACATGCTCCTTAACCACTGGTTGTGGCTTGGGAGCAGGGGCTTCCTTCTCCACCCGCACTTCTGCATCGTCGGCTGGAAGTGCTGGAGCAGGCAGTGGTTCCTCCTGTTTGGCCGGGACAGGATCAGCAGATATGGTCTTACCGCTCCTGGTAAAAATGGCATCCAGCTGCTGATGCTGGTGAGGATCTCGAGGATTAGGAACAGTGGTGGCAGGCAGAGTCCCCGGTGCCCTGGTGGTGCTCTGGCGGGCCAAGATGCCCACCTGAGTCTGCAGATCCTGCAAAATGGCACCCTGGTTCCGCTGACCTGCCTCCAGTGATGTGATAGCAGCCTGGGTGCTAGTCATGAATGAAGCTAGAATGTTTTCCAGCTTCGTCATCCTGTCATCTGGGGCCGGAGCTGCTGCTGGCTCGGCAAACTGGCGCTGGGGCTGCTGGAATGGCTGGCCCTGCCTAGGCTGGTAGGGCTGCTGCTGTGGGTCTGGCCCCTGGCGAGCCTGGAAGGGCTGCTTCTGCTGAAAACCACCTGCTGGTGCTGGGAAACCAGGTGGTTTAGTGGTGTTGCTGCTCCAGGCGAAGTTGGGATGCTGGCGCCACCCCTCATTATATGTGCTACTGTATGGATCGAGGCGCCTCGCATTGGCGATGAAGGCCAACTGCTCCTGGGGTGTGGTAGACTCCCTCATAGCCTGGCAGTCCTCCACTAGGTGACTGGAGCTCTCACACCACTGAAACTGAGCAACTGGAGGTGTAGCCAAACCTCTGCCCGGAATCAGACTGTTGGGCTGCTTCAATGTCTGCACTAGCTCAGCTACCTGCTGCTCGAGCCCGGATCTGGTCTCCATGGCGTGCACACCACGGTCCCGGGACTGTCTGCCTCGGCTACCCTGTCCCCAAGAATGATCTCTGGCAGCCAAAGTACTGATCATCTGGTTCAGCTCGGGTGGAGTCTTGGTAAGAATATCCCCTCCTGGGCATAAAGACTCAATCACCCTCTGGCTATCTGGGGAGAGAGCGTTGTAGAAGTTCCCCACAGTGAAAGCATCACTGAAGCCATGATGGGGGCACTGCCAGAAATAGCCCATGTACCGCTCCCAAGCATCACGAAGTGACTCATCTGGCTCCTGGCGGAAGTGAGTGATCTCCCGCTGAATCTCTGTAGTCTTCGATGTCGGATAATACCTGTGCACGAACTTGTCCGCCAGATCGTCCCAAGAGGTGATGGACAATGGGGGCTGGGTCTCCAACCACCTCTTAGCATTCCCCGCCAGAGAATGGGGGAAGAGATGAAGGCGGATCGCATCATCGGGGACACCATTCAGCTTGAACCCGTTCGTCAGCTGCAGAAAACGGGAAAGATGCACCCTGGCCTCCCCATTCTTCAAGCCATGGAACTGGATAGATGATGTAATGAGCTGAATCCAGCATGGCTTGATCTCGAAATTGTTTGCTGGAATAGGCGGGTAGAGGATGACCGGGCGGATGTCAGCAATCCGCGGAGTGTAGTAGTACTCCAAGGTGGGGCCCGGCTGCGGGGGATGATGAACTCCATGGTCCTCGGGTATGGGGTTGTTCCCCAGGACCTGATTCACCGGGGGAACCTGCTGTGGATTCCCCTGGTGTTGGTTGTAGTCTCCGTCCATCCCGTGCTCTTCTTCAGAATCGCTACTCAGGTGGCCGTCTATGCGCTCTTCCGTAGCCAGTCTAGCTCGTTGTTGTCTCCTGAGCTGGCGACAGGTGCGGTCAATCTCTGAATTCAACGGCAGTAAACCTCCTGACTGGCTACGGGTCATGCACTACCTGCACACACTCAAGCAAGCAAACCCGTGAAGGCACAAGTGGGACAAAGCAAACAAAGCAAAAAGAAAAGCTAAATTAACAGAAATCACTTTTCTTCAACAACCTAGCCGTCCCCGGCAACGGCGCCAAAAACTTGACTCGACTCTACTGTCACCCTAGGAATTGGCCAAGTGCAACCACTTCCTAAAGCGTAGTATAGCGGGTTTAGGTTTAATTATCAACCCGGGTCCTAGATATGATGACTACTCAGTGAATTCGTGTTATCTAGCAATGAGACTGGAATGCAAGTCTAAACTATCAAACTAACAAAGCAGGTAAACGGTTGTATTCAGGTTAAAGAGGTCACCCGAATATGGTTCCCCCTAGACTGCAGTTAAGTCGGATTGTAATTACCAAGTTCAGTTTCTATGAAAGTTATACTGCGGAAGGTTCTTAAACAGCCTGAAGTCTCGACTAAAGGTCTTCAGACCCTCTCAATCTGAATCTCTAGCGGGCGACTAACCTCCACCGGAGTAGACAGATTGAGGTCCTAAGAACAAAACCTCCACTACCGGAGTAAATCCGGTACAGAATAGTGAGTTGGCTCCTCGACTAAAGTCACCAACTCCCTACCTTCAATCAAGGATACTCTATTAACCTAGGCAGATATTCTCATTCTAGGTTAAAGCAGAAACAACAGGAATTTGATCAGGATTCAAGTCATTCAATCATTAAAACCTCAATCGAATATAATCAATCACAGAATCAGTACTTGGGTTCATACAATCAAAGCCTAACACACAAATCTAGGGTTCTCCATACCCAGATGAATGGGAGAACTACTCCATGGAGAAGAAAGCAAAAGCAGAAACAGACACGGAATTCATACTGCGAAGGACGGATTCCGGCTCCTGGACGTTGATTGGCACTTCTCCAAGCTCAAGCTGGCCTCCAATGGTGTTGAAGATCAATCTAGGGCACTTGGAGACTCTTGTTCGTCACTTTCTCTCTCTAGAAATCGCTCTCTTTCTCAAAAACCCGAATCCCCTTGAATTGTGGCTGAAACTCTGCTTAAAAGCATCAGTGGCCAAAGCACGGTCGAGGGCACGGCCGTGCTTTGCCTGACTCCGCCCGTGCCTCGGCCAGGGCTTAATTACACGGCCAGCAAGTGGGTTAAACACGGCCGTGCTTCGCAATGTACACGGCCGTGCTTTGACTGAACACGGCCGTGCTTCGGTGCCCGTGTTTGCAGCTGAATTGGCCAAACTGAATTTGCTCTCGACATAAAAAGCACGGCCAGCAGTACACGGCCGTGTAATGCCTTAGGCTGCCCGTGTTTTGGCTCCAGCTCACCGAAATGACTTCCGAATGCCCCGAAACTCGCGCTTAGCCTTCCCTTTGACAGCTGGGACCTGAAACATGACAAAATAGCACAACCCGGCGTAAAATAGGCCACAACACACGACTATGTCCCTCAAACGGATAAGAACTAGGGGCGCAAACATGTGCAATTACATCGTTATCAAGACTCATATTCTCCAAACGACCCTTGCATCCTATAACTTGGAGTAATTACTCTCCATGAACATTTATCCTTCAAACCTACGCAAGCAACAAGGAACCAATTGTGAACATTTATCCTTCATATAACGCTACCACCCGAAAAGTTGACTTGATTACTTCGATTTAAAGGTAGTTTGGATGAATCAATTGGAAAATGAGATAATTTTGCCACATGTCTCATTTTACAAAACGACTCATTTAGAATGAAACAATTCGAATTACCTTTCCCCACCCCACACAGTTGTAATTTCCTCAAACGAGTGAATTCAAAATTTCTCATGCTAGATTGCTCCATCCAAATGTTATGCTGTCAAACCGGTCAAGTTGTCAAATTTGTCCAAAAATGATACAATTGGGTCAAATTTATATGTTAGAATTCCTTGTGTAAACACCCTCTTCCTTAGATGTAATTGTAGTCATATCGAACCCATTATCAATGCCATCTACGCCGGCTAAAACACCTCTTTTTGTGTGACAACAAGTCTCCTTGTCATTCATCACTAGGATGCCAACATTCCTAATTTCCTAGATTGTTAGTTGAGCTTGAGCCATGAAAACCAAGCAGTGACTGGGATGTCTCTCTAAGATGGAAATCCATAAAAATACATACTTTTCGTAAATTGACTCTATGTTACTCCATTGAATCAAATCAAATTGGGCAAAGTAAGAAAGAAACTTTTTTTTTATAAATAGATGCAGTGCATCTCAGCTTTCATTCACAACAAAACAGAACTCAAAAAGTCCTTGACAGTCATACAAGAAATTGACAATCTTTTGTTCGGATTTACAAATTTGTCTACCGAGAGGGATGAGTCAACAACGGGTCCCAAGCAAAGTGAAGAAGGATCTCCCCATTGTCCAAACAACGATCTGTCCAGAAGAAAGTACTTTGACCATCATTTATACTCATCATCATCCCGGTAGTCATGATAGGCCAAACCTTTCAATCCACCTGCTTAAAATATTTAGCATGTAAGGTTGTAACACACGAAGCCATAACTCATCATGTTTCTTGATAAAGTTCCAAGCCAACTTTGCAAGAAAATCAAGGTTTAGATCATGTGCACTGCCAAGACACCCTTAAACTTTGGCCGACAAATCACCTTCCAACGAGCCCAGATGAATCCATGTTTCTTGCGCTCAATAAGATCACAAGTGGACTGAGGCGGGAGAGTTGGTTGCATCACAATTGTTGGCAAGGAATTCAGAACTACCTAGGTGACTCGACCTGCAAAACTGAGAGCACGCACTTTCCATCCCGAGAGTTTGTTATCCTTATGGGTGTCAGTCGGTTTGTTTCGGTTTAACTGAAAACCGATTTCTCGATAATCGGTTAAACCAAGCCACCACCTCCCAGTGTCGACCACCGACTGTGAGGGACATTGCGGTTAGCCGACCACCAACCGGTCGGTTATCTGTTTTGGTTCGGTTAGCCGCATACCCGAAAAACACTCCCTAATCTCCAAAAAAATAATTCAAAAAAATATAAAAAAACCCAAAAATCCTCCCACCACTTATTCCTTATCTCCTCCATCCTTCTCTCTCCTTCCTTTCTTCATTCATACCCCCCACCACCACCAGGCCACCTCTTTCTATCTCTCTCCTTCCTTCTTCCATTTGACCATTTCAGATCTGGACACCACAGCCATGGAGGAGAAGCAAAGGCACAGTGGCGGCGGCCGGCGAGCGGAGGCGGACGTCGGGGCAGGGCGATTGGCAATTCGAGGAGGAGAAGCAGGGGGTCTCGAGGTGGATGGCGACGTGGCGACGGAGGCGAGGTGGACAGTGGCTTGCTCCGCTACGGGAAGGAGGCGTACGGACGGCATGGCATTGACTGCGATTGGAAGGAGGCGAACGATGATATGCAGGGAGAGCGATGTGGACGGCGACACGGCGGCGGAGGCGAGGTGGACGGCGACGTGGTGGACGGAGGTGAGGTGGGCGATGTAGGTATGCTTGTTGGCTATGGCGGTGATGAGAGTGTAGAGGATGAGGAGTGAAAAGAGGGAAATTGTTGAGAGAGGCTACTGCTTCTTCTTCTTCTTCCTGGATTTGGAAAAATTTTTAGATTCAAAATGTGAGAATGGAGATGAATCTGGACAGGATTTTGGGGAAGGTTAAGTGGATCTCGATTAGTCGGATAACCGCAGTTAATTACCGTCGGTTACTCGGTCAACCGACCCCTTCCTTTTCCCATCCGACCACCGACCGTCAGGGTAACCGGTCGGTTTTCGGTTAGCTGATAACCGGCAGTTTTCGGCTAAAACCGGCGGTTACCCGCTAACCAGAAACCGAAATGCCAACCCTAGTTATCCTGAATATAAAGATATGTTACCTGGGTAACCTAGACATGGAGGATCGAGACACCAAGATACATCCCCCAAATCTTGTTTCATTGGAAATACTAAAATTATGAGCAATGGTAGCACTTAGTTGTCGAGAAGTATTTCCTAAATACAAGATCACTGATTTCTCTTCTCTTACTTTGACCGGATACAAGGCAGAATCAGTCGAGGCATTTGGCTCTCACCCTCATCCTCACTAGCTTCTACAAGTATGAGACCATTGGAAAAGAACATCAATATCTCTTTGCTTACTTAGACCGGATACAAGGGAGAATCAGTCAAGGCATTTGGCTCCTACCTCATCCTCATCCTCACTAGCTTCTACAAGTATGAGATCATTGGCAAAGAACAAATGGGAACAAATTGGCTTCCCTAGGGAGGTACATATTGGTTTCCACTTGCCCTCGCAAAATGCCTCCTCAATGGTATGACTGAGATGTTCCATGCATAGTGTAAATGAATACGGTGAGAGCAGACATCATTGTCTCAGTCCCCAAATTGGGGTAAACTCCTTGGTAAGACAATTGCTCCCTAAGACCTTCATGGAAGAAGAGGAAACACACTGCATAATGACATCAACAAGCTGAGTTGGAAAGAAAGCCCACCTCTACCAGAGTATCGTTGATAAAAATCCACCTCAGGCAATTATATGCGTTAGCAAGATCAATCTCCAGAATCATCTGACCCTTCTTTCCCTTCTTCAATCCCATTGAGTGGACCACCTTTTGGAGAATGACGATGTTGTTAGTGATATGCCTCCCATGAACAAAGCTAGTTTGAGTTGGGTGGACCAGGTTGTGCATCAGAGGCTTAATTATGTTGATAATGACTTTGGTGAGAGCTTTATAGACCACATTACATGACCCAATATGAATAAATTTCATTGTGGTCTCTAGGCACTCCTTCGGGATCAAACAGAGGAGAGTCTCATTGACCAATGCAATATCATACAGGTTCCAAAAGTAATCTGTAACAAATTGAACAAAAGAGGACGACACTATATCCTAACACTTATGGTAGAAGAGAGGAGGGAACTCGTCTTTCCAGGAGTCTTGAATTCACCCATATTCTTAAACTGCATTTCAGACCTCCTTAGGAATAACAACCTGAGTCATTATCTCTCTATCTCGACTTGTAATATGGTTGAAAATGGTGGGAATCACTGGAGTGGCACCCTGCTTGACAGAGAAAAGGGATGCAAAGTACCCCCTAGCCATCCCCTCGTCTCATCTACATCGTAAGTGCAAAATCTCGACGCCAACTTTAACCCCAACACTGTATTGAACCGACTTTGCTTTAAAGTAGAGAGGTGATAGAACTTGGTATTCGACGAGGTTAGGAGATCAGGAAAGCCCTCATGACCCATCCATGCGGCGAGGAAACTGAACGGGCGAGGACCACGAGTACCACTCCTAAGGGATGCTTGAAGTAAGATTGGTGGTGGATTCTGTGATACCGGCACGACACTAGTGCCGGCAGTTCCATAGCCGTTGGATTTAATGCAATTAAGGAGAACCGTTGTTAATAACCATCATTATGGAGGCTTATCCAGCTTCTGGGAACATCGATGATAGCTGACCGACGGTAAATATTATTCCTTCTTCTAACAAGTGTTATGACTTATACGCAATCTATCTTAATTAGATGGCTACATGAGCATATATTAACAATCAAACTCATTTTAATTACATCTTCTTCCCCATCAATTGATGGAGGATCAGGATCTGGGTATGATGGATGTCCGATGACAACGCCGATGATGGAGTGGATTTATGCGACAGAGACGATTTTGCGTATGACCGGCGAAGGAAATGGGTTTGATGGCGATGGAGATTTCGACTGATGTGGGCTCGTGATCTAGGTGGTGATGACTGGTCGACGGAACCGGCGATGGTGGTGGTGGGTTGCTGCGGCGTAGACGATTAGTTTGAAATCTTGGTGGTGATGGCCGACCGGTGAGAACAGCGATGATAGATAGTGGTGGATTGCTGGTGAGAGTTGACGGAGGAGAGCCTGCCTTTTCCTTTCTTTTTTTACATTTTTTATTTGGGTAATCTCTATTTTTTATCAAAACCTTTTTCAAATTCTTTTATATATCTAAATCTATCAAAATACTAAGAATTAGCCAAATATTAACTTTCAATTAGCAATTTTTTTAGTAATGTTGACTTGACAACATGATACTGACTTGGAAAAGACACATGAAGATCAACATTCCAAAATTTTAGTATTTTAACTAAGAAGGAAGTTACAAAATTATTAACGATAACGTAAAAAAGGCTAATATTTTGATGCATTAAAAACATTTGGCTAAATATTAGCATTTTAATATGTTTGTATAATATAAAATAATTTGAAAAAGATTTGAATAAAAAATAGACATTACCCTTTTTGTTTTATTAATTTTAAGCTAAACCAGACTCATCCATTAATGACAAACAAAACCCTTTTATTTGAACCGGTTTGAAAACTGTGACGGCACTGGTGCAGTAACTGCACCACAGAATTGCCAAAGATTGGTCGATGATATGAGTCTATCCGTTCCAGGAGGCAGATTAAGCCTAGAGGGAATTTTATAAGCCAAAGTCAATTATATGGCTAAATAAATTCAATTGCCCACTCTACATCATGGAATGTAACTAACACAAACAAAACAAAAATAAATTCGGGAAGGAAGAAAAAGAGAAGAAATCAACCCCACCGAAAAGCAAAATAAAAGAGGGGGGAATCTATCTGAATCTAATATCGATTAAGGAAGACGAAAAGAAATTGTTTCTTAAGGTATAACTATTCGAACGGGAGCTACCCCAGGCAAGAAATGAGAGAGTGGAACGTTATTGATTAACAGCCAGCTAAATAATTAATTAGATCAGTGAGAAAATGCCTATTAAGATCTAAGATGTGTTCATTAAAAATAAAAACAATTTCAATGAACAAATTATTCACATAGCAGTCAAAGTAGTACAGTTGATTGTTATGTATGACCTTACGTAACCTAATTCGTCCATTTAGCTCCCACGTTCACGCTTCCGCACGTGAATGACGATTTTGGGTGAAGTCACAAATAATTCGCGAACTAACAACTCATGGAGGGAGAATTGATGAATGAGTGAGCGCGGTTTATTACAAGCGCACAATTCCACTCTCAATTTTGTTGCCTTCTTATATTGCTTGCTGAGGCGGAGGGATCTGGGGTTTCTGTTGCCTTCGTGTATTGCTTGGTGAGAGGCTAATTATAGTGCCACAAATCAATTATTACTTTGAAGTTTCCCATTGCTCTGTCATCATGAGTCATCGCTCCTCTCCGTGGATTAGTCTCAACTAGAGGTGGCAATTCTCAATCCAATCCGCCAATTCATTAAAAATATCCAACTAATCCAATCCATTTTATCCAAATCCAACTGGATTGGTGGATTCATGGATTGGATCCATGGATCATTGGCAAATTAAAATTTAGTACCTATAATTTTTATTTTTTACATTTTGGTACCTAACATTTATTTTTTATACGAAAAATATCATTAGAAAGTTATATTTGGAACCTAAATTTTTTATTATGACATTTTAGTACCTAAACTTTTTGCATTTTACATATCGGTCCTTGGTTGAGGATGTTATTTTGATTTATGGATAATCTACCAATCCACTTGATCCAATCCATGAATCCACCAATCCATTTGATCCATGGATCCACCAATCAAATCCATTTGCACCTCTAGTCTCAACAATACATTGAGGATACCACGTAAATCTCGGTGTTTGTGTTATTATCCTTCTCTTGTTGTTATGTTTAACATGGTATCAATGCCTCTAGATTAATCTCGCTGCGTTTTTTGATTCGACGACTGTCCTTGGGGTTGCTACTGCTTTCGTGTTTGGGTTTCTGGTTCGTGCTTGATTTCTGCTTCCTTGTTCTGCTTTTCGGTTGTCTCTTGTTCCTTTTGGTTTCTTGGTTGGGTGCGATGGAGCCATTTCCCTTTAAATGATGGTGGGTAATCGCCAAACCTTTTTAATGGAGGTCTCTTGCTTTCCAAGGTGGACACGGTCTCTGTTAGGTTTAACGACAAAATTTTTTCCCTATGGGAGCTGCAGCTCCGCCTCTTTGTTCAGGGTCGCCTTCTCTCTGGTTTTCTTGATGGTGCCTCGACGATGTCGGCTGCTTATGCCCCAACCAAGGATAAGAAGGATTGAGAGGTTCATAACGCTCAAGTTATGGTTTGGATCTTATCTTTTATTGTTTTACCTCCGCCCATGCGATGTGGAGTCACCTTGCCGTGGTGCATTCCCAGCCGAGTCCCTCTCCCAAATTTGAGGTTGAGATGGATTTGGCGCGTCTCCATCAGAGCAACATGGATGTCCGATTGTACTATCAAGCTGCTGTGAGCCTCTAGACGGAACACGATCAGTTGACCACGTCTTTTCTCACGTCTGAGGCGTTTGCGAAAGTTCTCTGAGAGCGCTCCAGCTCTCATCTCATGCAATTTTTTTTGAAGCTGCACTGTGATTTTTAATGAAGGTATTAGCACTGTGATTTTTAATGAAGCTGCACTGTGATTTTTAATGTCACCAAGATTGAGGATATGCTTGTGGAGCTTGTCCATGAAGGAACTCGGTTTCGCAGTCAAGCAAAGCTCGATGTGCATCAGTCGACCGATTGT